CGTTTCTTCTCGGGAAGCACCACAAAGAAACGACAGCGGTTGGTGATGGTCACATCATCTGCACGGGTCATTCTAGCCGCATCAGGTGGTGATGATAAGAAGATCAAGCTTGAGATTTCGTTGCTTGCCCCCGGGACAAGTTACCGAAGTACGACGGATTCTAAAGGAATTTCATCCTGGATTGTGGATACGGTATGTAGTTCATCCTTTATCAGTCAACAGGACCCCTCTAACGAAACCCACAGAGAGATAAACATTACGTCTTCGAGGATCCCAAGCCATCATCAAGCAACATCGGCGCCACAGCAGTCCAGGTACAAGAATGGCTAGATGCATTGGACAGATCCCGGGAGATGGCATCACAGCAACAAAGCGCAGGCTACTCTGACGATGCATTCCGTGACCTCTCCTCTGGTTTCCCTAGTCCCGCCAATACACTAGACCGCACCTCCGACATGCAGAACGACGATAGAGGCCCACCATCATCGGGTCGGAATCACCTGGTGAAGCAGCAGACTACCGACACCGAGTCAACGAAAGGAAGGAAACGATTCAGCAAGCGTCATTCGAAGAATGGCCTCGCTGCAGTGTTCTAATGATATTGAACAAGAACTATGCATCTTGCAATCCATCTACCCACCGTGCTAAATTGCCTTTCATTGTTGTCGGTATCAAGCCGACTTTTCTATACTACCTGCCTCCTTGCCTCGCCACCTCGCCATCTCATCATTTGAATACAGACTATCCCCTCCACTCGTCTCCTCGTCTCACTTTCTTCTTTTCTCTTCCATGCGCGGGCATTCGCACAAAGATGGGATGTCATCCCAGCATATCGGTTCTCCTACCTTTTGCATATTCTGTGACAAGCGTGTTCTTCTGTTTGTTTACGTTTTTGGGGAAACATGTTTCTTGCATTTAGATTTGGAAGGGAGCATGCGCATACTTTGTTCCTTCATTGCCTGATGGTTTATTTCAGAATACCGCTTTTCCTTGTCGTTTGCTATGTCGTCCGCTGCTATATATCCCTGATTTGGTCTGAAGCATCACAACATCGAGAATTTTTCTGTCCTCATTTCATTTCTTTGTTCCACTGTTCCTGGTAATTATCAGGTTTTCTTGAGGCTTGTGTTGATTGTCCTTGAAAAATATGAAATCAAGGCTGTTTATACACCCGCATCCTCATCTCTTTCTCTTATATCTCCTGGTGTTTTCTTTTTAGGCCAAATTCGGGCAAAAGAGTACTTTTCTTGGATATCTTCACTTTTCTTGTGTTTATTTTCTACCTCTTTATTTTCTACCTCGACTTCCCCGCTTCCTTACAGTGGCATCTTGGTTTGACCTCATTTTCATTGTGATTTTCCTCTACTTGCTTCACCCTTGCCTCTCCTCTTAGTATACACTTCCCCGTCTCTTTTTATTTGTCTTGTGCTACTTCTTTCTTTGCTCTAGGTCGAGAGATATTATACCCGATTTTCCTATTCGCAACTCATTATTCTACCGTGTCCCTACAATCGTTCACATATGTTGAAATTCACAATGATATACTGCGTATTCCAAGTGAAGTGATCGCAAACAATGTACTAATTGACAGGTATATATAGGTAGGTAGGTACAAGCAAACATTACTCATAAAAGGCGAGATTATATCTCCGTTATTTCCCCCAAATTAAATGAACAACCAATCGAGGCGCGAATTATCCAGCTCCTCGATCCAGTCAAACTCAAGATCGTAATCATTATCATCATAATCCTGCTCATCAAAAACATTCCGATCACGGCGTTTGAGATCCTGTTTCTTCCACATGAGACGCAGGACCCACGCAGCATTGCGCACATTAACACTCATCAGAGCCTCGTAGAGCGAACCGAGTTTGTCAAGGATAAGAGCCCGCTGCGAAGGGCGACATTCCGCGCCAGCGATAAAAGTGGGCCAGATGAGGCATTTGAAGTGAGGGTCCGAAGGGGGGATGAGGCAGATTTGCGTGACGAGGTTTGTGGCGATGAGTCTGTGGTCTAGCGGGAGGCCGATGTCTGTCCAAGGGGGTGAGAAGCCTTTTCTGGGACGTGAGAGGACGCGACTTGTGTAGAGGTAGACGGCGTCTTGGTAGGAGGTTGCGAGTGCGAGGCGGTAGTTTAAATTTGGGAGGAAGAAGACCTTTTGCATTTCTTGGCTCCAAGCTATTGGGTCGAAGTTTCGGATTCCTTGGAGGAGGCTTGCGAATGCGTCTAGGGTGAGGGGTTGACCGGGTTGGATTGGATTTGGCAGCGCTGTTGGTTGGGGGATTACGACGGTGACTTCGGGGTCTGGGTACCAGAGGGCATGGACGAAGAAAATTACTTCTAGGAGATAGGCTGGACATCCGACCCAATAGTTTTCTTCAAGGCGTTTGAGGACCGCTGGGTCCATGGATGAGGAGTAGAACGGCCTTGAAAGCGCGCCTGGGCGAGCTAGTGTTGATCCCATGATTTCCATTCTGTTATGGTCAGCAAGAACTTTTTCGCTATAAGCAGAGACCTGGATCTTACATTAAACACCCGTCAAGGGCAAAAGCGTCCAAGTCGTCGAGGATTCCTTGTCCTGGACCATTTTCAGGTCGGTCCCTGAGAAGCTTCTTCGCACCTTCGATATGATGATTCCAGGCCCCGCTGCCAGATTCGAATATGTCTAGGAAGGCAAGCAAGACGATAGCAGCTATGGTCCTGCCGTCCTTCTGCATCGCTGGGTTATTGAGGTCCATAGACAATTGGCGAAGGGCGCGCTGCTTGTACTCTAAGAAATGATGATATGCCTGCGAAGTGGGTTTTCGAGAACCTGCTGGCGCAACGATATCTTCAATCTCCTCTACTGACAAGTTCGAATCTGCCATCGATAGGTTGCCGTATGACCATGGTAGGACAGATGAGTCTGATTCCGATACAAGGGAGTAATGAAGGGCTCCAAGAGCAGCGATGCTGCTAGCGAGAACAGGAGAATGGTTGACCAGCGCAGTAAGATCACGGAAGGTATTTTTGTGTTGAGAGTAAAGCGCAAAGTCGTTCACCATATATTGATTGTCTTGCGAGTAATTGTCAGCAGAGCCACGGTTAACGCATCGGGGAAGTCTCACAGTGATGCACGTAGTACCTTGAGAAACGGCTGAGATCTTTGAGCAGTGGATCGACCAGTCCCCATGGCGTTGGAGTATAGTCGACGGGAGGAGTACTTCGAGGAACATGAACAACTGCGTTGTCCTGTTCCTCAGTCGAATTGACCCCTGAGTGCCATATTTCTCCTCCAAATGTTGGAGTTTCCATCTCAAAAGCCCATCCATCGGTCTCCGGACTAGGTTGACTCCGTTGACTCCCGGAGCTGTGCGATTCCCCGTCGGTTGAGGATTCGGCGATAGAGAAAAAGCCGAATCCGATGCTCGCCGCAGTTGAATCGTATGTGCTGGACGCCCCGGTAGCTGACTGGCGTTTTGGCTTGCTAGACGGTATTTCCACGTCGTCAAAGCTGCGGCCCATCATCTTTCCTCGGCTAGCCACACCACCCTTGACCCAAACAAGCGGTTTCTGGTACCCCAGACATTCTTTCCCCGCATCTCGACACTTCCGGCAGGTGGGTTGGCCGTTGTCGCAGATGATGCGACGTCGTCGACAGGTATAGCAACCTTTGGTCATTCTCTAGGCCTGAGAGAAAGGTAGTTCCTTAACTGGATAGCGAAGAAGCGAGCCACTTGTGAATTTTGTTTGGCGCCACTCGCCATCGTTGGCTATGGTCAGGATTCGGCGGGATGTTGACAAAGCCACGCGACCATTTCTAGTCGTCTAAGAAGTGGCTGTGTCGAGAAATATCATACAAGTTATAAAACAAGTAAATCCGTCATGCTCCACGCGCTCGGGATGATTCAGAAAGCTTCACTCGCGGAGCCCGCGGGGAGGATGACTAAGAAAATCTTCTGATGATCGAGACCCCAGGACCGGACTTCTTCCATCTCAATCTTCGACTTGCTTATTCCATATCAGCTGCACTTGCAATCCCATGGTCGAGCATTACAAAACTGCAAGATGGCTTTGAATCTCTTGCTCCGAAGTATGGAGGTATGTTGTTTTTGCTATCGCCACTCCGATCTTCACTGACATTGTTTCATCTTAGATATGGCTCACCGTTCGAGTACGTTGCTCCGACCTTGGCATGCTTGCGCTTGACTTTAAATTCTAATCTCATCCACACAGCTCCTTCGAAGTCCGATCTTCCATCGCATGGTGGGCCGAGTTCATCAGAAAGTTCAACATATCAGGTACGGGGTGCCTCCGGAGGAGCAGGGAGGCACCAAACTCGAGGGACAAGGTATGCTTCGAGCTAACGTTCGGTGAAATGCCATGTCTGACCTGTTCTGATTAGATTTCCCCTACAAGAAATTCCTTAGCCATTTCAAGGAAGAGCTGAAGGACCAGATGAAGGGGAACCCGCGGAACAAATTTTAATACCCTGGCGCGCTTGATTGATAAGGAAACTGATGATACCCACACTGAATATGACACATAGCACATACTGTTTTTTTTATCTTTCGCAAGTTTGGATTTTTGCTTCCTGTCATAGGTTTGGCGCTTGTGTCAACACCGGGTATACAGTGGGATACATTTCCGCACCCCCTGGGATGCATCCCTTGTTTCACCCGGAGAGTGAACTTGATTTGAATCATTGAATTGCCCCTTCTACTATTTCCAGCTGTTTATACTGTCAGGCTGGGATCTAATAACTGGGACATATATATATGAAGTTTCGAGATCGACCTCAAGGGTGCGCCGCGGGATTGTTACGTTGGACATAATTTGGCTCCAAAGACGAAGACCCGTCAAATTACCATCTTTTATGTATTACTGCTAATTTTACGCCACACAACGAAAGGTTATTAGCTCAGTGCAAACGAACAGAAAGAGTACAAGCGCGAAGCATTCTTTCACTTCGGACCATTTTTACTAGTCTAACCTCACCCCCAAATATAAAAGCAAGCCGATCATGCTGAGGCCGAACCGTTCCTCAATCTCTGCAACCTCCGAGGAGACACATTCAATCGTGTCCACATAACTCGAAGCCGGACCATCTCAACCAACTCCTTTTTCACCCTAGCCAGAACCTTTTGAGAGACGATTGCTCTGGCGGGCCTCCAGAAGGCCTTCTGTAGTTCCCGGGGGTTAGATCGCATGAACATGACCTCAACCACTTCCAGCTTTGTGTCACTCGGGCTCTGACTCTGAACCCGCTCCCATTTCTTTTCGATGTTGGTGAATGCAACGAACTTGCGTCTACCAACGCGCTCGGTGTCGAGCCATTTTAGCTGGGTTTCGTTGCCGAAGAACTTCACAGAAAGCATCTTTGCAATGATATTCAGATGATCTTCGTTACCGTACTCGTAGGAGGCATCGGTATTAGCATTGATGTTCTTGATTATTACATCAGATAGACTAGTTCACGTTAGTATTCTTCGCAAGTTTTGGTGGAGTGCACATCATTTGGAATGGTACTTACTGGACGACAACATGTGTAACATTCGTGAAATCGTAGTTCTTGAATCGGCCTTCGCATTGAATATCAAGGTTGGGAAGTGAGGCTGTGATGACTTCGGGATAAGAGCGCGTCTCGGCCATGTTTTTTGAGGTTTGAGGTGATGGGATTTGGTTATCAAGGGGTTGATCGAGTAAACTAGGCGTAGAATGGAGAATATGCTAAACGCTTTGAATGATGAATGCCAAACGCTGAATGTGCTGTAGATATGCTTGGTAGAGCTGTGTATTATGAAAGTTGTATTCAAGGCTGTTGATGTCAAAAATGAAATGACAAACAGGAAGAAGAGATGACTTTGAGATCAGAGCCACTGAGGAGCAAAAAGAAAGAACAAAGGAAGAAAGATCTCCATCTCATGCCAGCAGGGCCTCGAGAACAAGAGACTCTATTCTCGGGGAAATAAAGAGATCATTGATCAAGCAAAGTAAACTATTCGTACTTCATTGCGTGGCTATTATGGGCGTTTGCCTTTTGTTGCCAATTTGCAAGGAATCAAAGCTTCCACTTGCTTTGACCACAAAGCAAGATTCAAAAGTGAGGTCTTTGCTCAACCTTCTATTTATGCAGCCGGCAAGAGATATCCTAGAGACAGAGGCTCCCCTTCTATTATGTTACTCCCTTTGTTGTCGATATCTCAACATAGGCACACCAGAGAGCTTCTTGCTGATCGCCCCGCTCTCGATATGGCAACTGAAGAAAATTCTTTGCATCTATAATGCTTTATAGGTCCTAGGTATAGCGAGTCGGCGGTGGCTTTAATCTCACAAAAGTAATATCCGAACAACCTCAAGATTTTCAGATACCCTTGCCAAAGGCTGGACCATTATCCCGCTTACTCAATACATAGTAAAAATAATACTGTATCCCACTATCAACATTGAAACGACCTAGATGAAACAGCCTAGATGTGGAGAAGATGTGGGCGGATGCGACGGGTATAAGGAAAGTGGCCATGTAAGGTGAGGGCGCCACGGTTTCACTGTGGAATATGTGGAATAAGAGGGAAAGACTTATATCGAATAATCATAAATAGTAATACTTCATGGAATTGAACTTACAATGCTCCGTCATTTGCCTCATTTGCCTCATATCTATATTCGTACGTAGTACGGAGTACATGCAAATGAGATCGGTCTATGGACGCCTAGGAACGGGGATCAATACATAGCCACTCATCTTTGCTCCGGAAGCGTGCAATGTCATCGTAGAATGTCGTTAACCGTGTGAATTCCCGAGGACCTCCCGAGCCATGGAGGCCTGACCTGAATGACAGGTAAGACCCAAAAATGTTCCAGAACAGGCGGGAACGCCGAAACCTAGGAGGCTGTCAGCGGCACGCCCCATGGACCAATTAGGGCTAGGGGCAAAAGGGCTAATCCAATTTTTAGGCCTCCGGCTGTGTCGGCTTTTTTTTTAAAATGAGAGTTGAAAGGGTGGCCAGGTACCCAAGGGATTAGCGTGACATGAGACAGCATGGGAAAATCCCTGCCACGTTGTGTGTAGGAAGATGTCAACCCTTTAGGCGACTTGAACTAGACATTTATGCAGTATGTCATACGGGCTTAATGCCAATATGGAAGATCAGAGGCAGATCATAGGCGTGCTAAATATCTAAATATGGAGCGGGAAGCGAGGGGTACGTCGTCACCTAGGTTCGCAGGTTCAGCCCACATGTTCAGAGTTTTTTCTCTAATACATATATCTCCATGAGTACATGTTGAGTACATACATGTGATTGAATCATGAACCGATTACATCCCTAACCATTCTATTCTACTTTATTCAATGATATTCTTGTAAAATCTCAAAATAAAACATTTCCCCAATCGGTCAAATGTCCAGACCCAGTTTTAACGTGTTTTCTATTGAAGTGATAGCCAATCAGAATGGCAGATGCCCCGGCGCTTGTATTTAGTCTGAGACTCAGAACCCAATTAGGACTAGTGCCTCCCAAAGTTCGGGACAAACACTGCCCAAACGTTCACTTTCTCGCTTTGACTCCTTTTTCATTTCCTGCTTATTTCTCTTTATTCTTGACTTCGGGTCAAATTCTTTCGTTACTTTGTACACATTCGTTATCACCATGCGTCTCTCCAACCTCTCGTTCTTCGTCCAGGCTCTACTGTTGACTGCGGTCGCAGCCCAGAGTGCTGGTGTTTCCAACCCCGTGCAGGATGTCACAACTGATACCACTTCATCCTCCACCTCCGTGCCTGAAACCACATCGACTACATCCTCCACATCATCTTCAGAGACTACTTCTGAGGAATCAACTACTAAAGCCGACCCTACTACCACCACGACTTCTTCTTCCTCCAGCGAGCCTACAACCGATCCCGCCACCACCGATCCTACCACCTCACCCGAGCCCTCGTCCACTCCGGAGCCTACCGTCACTTCAACCACTTCTAAGAAGACTGACCCCGCCTCTAAGACAAGTACCGAGGGCGATAACACCACTTCGTCCAAGACCACCACCACCCAGACCCCCGTCGTGAAGACCATCACCTCCTACGCGACCAGCGATGGATCCACCATCGCCAACGTGATGACTACCACCTCCACCCCCGCCAGCGAGCCCTCTCTTAATGGCGACAAGGGCTCCGGCTCTAGCGGCGTGTCTTCTTCGGACAAGAAGATCATCATCGGTGTCGTCGTGGGTGTCGGTGGTGCCATCCTTATCGGTGCCGTGGGCTTGGTCTTCTGGAGAATCCACAAGAAGCGCAGTGAGCAATATGGCGATGAGGACGATCTCATGGGCGGCACTGCTGTCGGCTCCGGTCCTCGCGAGAAGGCCCCCAGCCCGGCCGGCAACACCCCCTTCAAGAACACACTAGACCAGTATCACAACCCTGGTCCTGTCAACGCGGCATCTAACTTCTAAGTGTAATGCGTTGACTCGACACTCGTCAAAGTGTAAATCTTGTACGATCTTCATGCTTTTCTCAGGCGCTCTGGACAGGATATGCGAGGTCAACGGTTGCGTTTGTTTATTCGGTTGCAAATTTGCTTTTTCTTTTCGGGCGTTTTCACACCCAGTCTCTCCCTTCATAGGTTGAACATCTGCGCATCCATTTGAGCGATTTTTCCTTTCTCTGCAACCACCACATTCCTTTGTTTCGCAATCGCGATTCTCGATCCCTGCGCGACTGACAAAAATACGGCACTACTTTTTTGTTATGCCTGTTATCTCTTTTTTTTTTTGATTCCCCGTATCTAGGCGCCTAGTGTTGTTTTGTGGTGAACTCCATTATGCCTTGACCAATATTCTATTCTTGTACCTTTTGCAGCATCAGACGTCACAGATTGTATAGTGTTGATAGACGCGTGCTGCAAAAAGGTCCCTTCTATCTTGATCCGCTCCGATCTGTATGTATGTAATTAAAGACAAATGGAATCCAAGTGAAACAATCCACAGTTCTATACTATATCGTACCAAACTATGGTGTATCGGAGTAGATTAAGATCGACATCAGATCTCGATCCGAAGTATGTATCCACGTGGAATTGATCCACGTGACGCATTCCAGCCCTCGGAGATGGATGCTGAGCGTCTTTCACCTAAGCAGTTGTTCACACAGCATTCTTCACTATCGGTCCTCAACGAAGGGCGTCATAAATGTGACGATCGATCTTGCTCCTCCGGCTAGGAGGTATAGGTAAGCTCCATACGTATATCAAGGAGTGCGGGGCATTTCCAAGGTTGGGTGTCTTATGGTTGACTGGATACAGTAGATTGAATCTTTGTCTAAATCAACACTGAGCTGTTGGACGAGAGACGAATTCATGAGAGGATCGAACGTTCATCAGCTTACTATAGGACTTTAAAGTACGTAGGTCAGACACGTACGATATGATAATACTAGTTCGGAGACCCAGAACGTTATACAGATCAGATCTAATTAGAGAGTACCCAACGGATCTACAAGATGCTCACGGCATAATACTCCCCGCGAAGACAAGCTCCTACAGTGAGAATCTCATTCTATATCTCCTGGAAGTGCTGGCTTCCTTAAGATAGTACTCTAGGGGAGTTTATCTATATCTACTTGTTGATGGTATAATTTAATCTAATCAGCATCATAACTAACTAGTATTCAGGTCAACGGATAAAATTAAGTTGTTGGAGCGGAAATTTGTCGACTTCAACACCTATAAGGCGGATGGATACAATGCATAGTTATGCGAGGATCACTACCAATAACATCTACTTTACTGGCTCTGTCAACTGAAGAATGATTTAGAACAAGAAGCGCAGCTAGTGAGGACTTCCTATTAAATGTGAGTGTCGACTATCTGGATTATATATAGGCACATGAATCTACATCGTATGTTCTCTCCCCCAAATTCTCCTCCGCTTTCAAACCGCTACATTTAGCCCACGGGGCTTTTGCAAGGATTCCAGTGTTCTTGGGAGGCTGACAAGTAAGCGCCAAAGGATCAGCGCATCGACTGCCAAGAGATCCGCTGCAACCACACACCATAGAATGGCCTCTTAAAACCATCGCCCCCAAACCAGCCAAGCAAAACCCGAATTACTCCACAACATCCCCAATTGGCCAAGGCAAACTGTCGTTTGAAGCCCACCCTCAAGCAGACAGATCTCAAATCTCACAAAATCTATCTCGTCTAAATCCCGCCGTGTTGCTGGCTCGGGATGAGGAACCCTTCCCTTCTTCCTCCTAAAGGATGGCCGCAATCAGCCAACGCAAACGCTCTAATCTGCCAAAGATGCAAAGATTCAAATCATGGCAAATGATGTCATTAAGGTGCATAGTGACTTTGGACTTATGTTAGCCTGCAACGGCATAAGCCGACACAAAGCAAGCGTATAATGAAACCCTTAACGTATGCCAAGATATATAACTTGCTTCAATACATACGAGACTAATTCCCGAAACATCTCAAAGTCACATCCAATTCACTTTTCCACAATCTAGAAACAATGGTTCAACTCAAACCATCCACGCTCGCCCTTGGCCTCTCTCTACTCGTTTCTTCCACTCTCGCAAAGAATGGCGAACTCTCCTCCGACCTTGTAGGCTGCAAAGAGGTCTCATGTCCCGTGGAAGGTTCCGATGACCGCTGCACAGTGGGAGACGATGTCTTCCTTGGTATCGGGCTCTCCCGCATCCCCGACGTTCCCTCGTCTCTCGAGGGATTCTCCCTCGTGAAAGGCGTCAATGTATCTACCAGCTTTGACGGCAGCAACTCGGTCACACGTCCTTTCAAGTCAGTCTACTACCTCGGCACACCCCCGGACATAGAGGCCAAGGACTTATCCGGCTGTGTTGTTGTCTTCCACGATCCCCCGTCGGGGTCATTCAACGGGTCGACAGTGGAAGGCTCAAACACTGGAGATGAAACCCGCGCTGGGACCGGTACCTGTTTCGATATCATTGGCAAGACATGCATTGAAAAGGTCACGGAGAAGGCCACGAAATCAGTCAAAGAGGCCGGTGGAAACTGCACAACGCTTGAGCGGGAATTGAAGAGGTTTTCTCTTGATGAGTGCGATGGATTCGCGGGTGCAGGTGGCAAGCTTGGGAATTTCAGCGTCAAGGCGCTTGATGATCTTGTTGCGGTTAAGAACTCCACTAACTGCTGGCCTATTAAGCCTAAGTCTGATCAGCTGGTTGAGATTGAGAGTTTCATTGCTCTGGTAAGTGGAGTTCCGTTCATGTCCCACATACGCAATCGTTAATATATGCTATAGAGAGACTACACAATTAACGCTCTGGTTGAGGAGGCCTGGAAGATTACACCGGTCCTCACTGTTTTCACTGGGAAAGGCAACAGCAGTCTTGTCGACGAAACTGTTTCTCAGCTGACATGTATGAAAGTCGTCACTCACCTGGAACCTCCCGCCTCGGGTAAGAATTCTGCGGTGGCTGTTAAGGTAAGCGGGTTTGCTGCTGGTGTTGCGGTACTAGCTGGAATTTTTGCATTCTTGTAGATTATTGAATGGATTGAAATAGGCAAATTCAAAAGCGTATTATATGTTAATTGGATCGGAATATCAAAAGTGTATCAAGTGTTAATTGGATCGGAATATCATTCATCAAATCTACAATGCAAGGGGTAAAACGCGCTAAATTAGCGCGACTTGGACGTGTCTGCAACTTTATCTCTTTGACCTCTGGAGTAAACCAATTACCTTATTCATTCTCGCGTATAGTTTACTTTAGATCTAGGGAAATCACCAAATCAGACCCCAAACACCAAAAGCCCAACTGACGCAACCGACATCCGCATCCGACCTACGGATCCAGACCCAACTCCAACATAAATCCACACCTTCACAATGTTCGCCACGCAATCACCCCAGACACCCTTCCGCAAACCCCACTACATTCCCACCCACTCCTCCCCTCTCGGCAGATACACCATGTCCCCAACGCACGACCCAAGCGCGTCGCAACGCGCCACACCGAACCTCTTCACCAATGCACCCCCAATCTTCAACATCCAAACCGAACCAATCATCCGCCATACCCAGAACAATCAATCCCCAATCGCAATGAACTTTAACGCGTCCGCCTCAACAACACCAACCTCAAACGCATTCTCCTCAAACCTCTTCTTCACAACCCAACCAACCTCCCCCAGCTCCCCAACACGCCAAAAACCAAAATACGAAGCCCGCTACGCTTCCATCGCAAATCCCCTCAAAGACACAGCGAGTCTTGCGCGCTCGAAAACGCGCAAGATGTTTCTTAATCGCGTGCGTCATGAGCGTGACGATGGACGGTTTGAGGCGCGTGGGGAGCAGATGATGCGCATGGAACATCTTGCTGATCGGAGACGGTGGGAGGAGAGTATGGCGCGTGATGGGGAGGGGGTTATTGGGGGGTTTGAGGGGGATGAAGATGATATGCTTCCTGGTATGTTTGTCTTCTTCTTTCTTATAGTTGTTTGAATTGGGTTGATGGACATTGCTGACTGCTTTTGGTAGATGATGCTGATGCTCTTGATGAATTCATATCCCAAGAGGAAGCTATGGAGATGGCGTTGAGAGAGACGCAAAGTGGGGTTCCTGGGAGGGTTGAGCATTTGCGGTCTAATGGGCCTGGCGTGTCGTTTAGTGACGACGAATACGATGATATCTTCATGGGATTGTCCGAGTCTCGAGAGAATCAGTCTCACTCCCAGTCGCAGGACATGGATATGTCCTGAGTGGGCTACTGGTTGGGTGTTCATTTTTCTTTTGCGATGCATTGCACTGGGCGGCGTTTTGATTCCATTTGGGTTGAGCGAGATGGGCCGGATATATACATGAAGTAAATAAGGGTATATGGACATGGGTTGCGCATATGTACAGTACAGAGATGGACGATGTATGACAAAACAAGCAAGCCTGGACATCAAGGCAATATCTTTCAAGCTTCAATACTACATTTTCAAGATCATATCACTGCTGCGGGCAATCAGGCACTCCGCCAGCTCCAGGCACCGCACCTCCCAGGTCCTCCATGAGGGGATTCGACACGAGTTCTTCAGGTGGGCTTCCAGCGGCTTGCATCTGGGACATAGTCAGTAAAACGAAACCTACGAAGATCTTAATCCATTATAAAAAGTCACAACTCACCTCCTGCATCCTCTCCCACACATACTCCCGACATTTAGGATCATCATCCGAGAACCCCTTCTCCTCAAACTTGCCCACAATTTGCTTAACAACGCGCGCCTGCGTCTCAAACCGCTCCATATCCTCAGCCGAAACCTTCCCATTACCCTTATTCTTCTCAATCCACGGCCCAAACTTAACATCCAACTCCTTCATGGGCTCATACAACATCTCCTTATTAGAAAGCTGCTCCATCATCCCCATAAACATCTTCGATAAATCACCATCTTCACCGGCGCCTGATGCGCCTGCCTCAACAGCCTTGAGCAGCTGCGCCAGCATATCATCAGAGATATCATCTTCATTACTAGCGGCCGCAGTAGCTTTATCACCACTTTCCTTCATCCGACCCATCGTGCGCTTAATAGCGTCGTTGAACGAGTCAGGTTGTTCCGCACCTACTGCTGGTGTATTAGACGATCCCTGAGTACTAGGAGCAGAGATACCAGCCGCGGCAGCGGCAGCAGCAAGATTCTCCGCCGAGGCACCAGCACCACCCTCTTCGGCCATCACGTCTGCGAGTAGCTGTTTGAGGAAGTCGCCTGGCGGGATCCCGCTCTCTTCGAGCTGTTTTGCAAAGACGTCGGCGCCTTGGTCGACCGTTGCTTGGAAGTTGGGGTCTGTGCTGGTTGCGCCGTCGGGTCCCATCATGTTCGCCATGTCTTGTTCGAGTTGCTTGAGGAAGGCATCTTCGTCGAAGTCTGGGGGTGTGATTCCTGTTGAGGGGTCTGGGTTGGTGGGTGCGGGTTGGGTTGCGGGAGGGGCGGGTTTGGGTTTGTTGAAGTCGTCGAGGACGTCTGGAGGTGTGAGCGTGTGTTATTTTGCGTGGCGGGGTGAAGGGGAGGGAGGGGGAGAGGTGGGTATTTGTTACCATCTAGCTCATCAAAGTCCGAGTCTTCATCGTCATCTACGACTGCAGCTGCTTCCTGTGTTTGTTCTGGGGCTGGGGCTGGTTCTGTTGCTGCCGGCGCGGCTGCATTGCGCGCGGGCTGGGATTCTTGTGTCGGCGCGGTGGGAGCCTCGGGGCGATCGGTCGGCAAGGGGGTGGACATATTGAAGAGGAATAAACTATGATTCTCAATTGAAAATACGGCCCGATCGGAGTGAAGGTTAATTTTTTTGGAGGTTGAAAGTCTGGAGATGAGGTTGACATGTGACGGGTGTTTGGCGGGGGAAATGCCGATCGCCGAGGGTTTACATTTTGCCTAGGTAGACCTCAGGTACCTGGGTAGACACTAATATGTAGGGTCTTCTATAGAAGGTTGATTCATCTTCAAAAGTACAAGTCCAGATCTATAATTTGCTGGTTCAATCGAGATCGAGTTCCAAGGTTACCCTGTTCACACAAAAGTACGATGAGATTCTGCAGTCCAAGCCATACTATTAATAAATCATATAAGATCTAGCAACCTCCCCATAGACTCCGCACATCCATGAGATCATAAATTCAGACCAAATGCGTGAGTCCTTGGCACATACCCCCCCGCATAACAACCAGGCTGTTCCATGCGAGAAAAATCTGCAATGCATTCTAAGTCCGGGGAAGGGGCGTCATGCGATGATCGTTGGTCTCCGAGGGGAACCAATCGAGGGTGGCGCGTGATTCGCTTCCGTGTGCCCCAATGGGTCAGGGGTCATGTGGCATTTGGATCTGAAGGCGGAGGACTCCGAAGACCCAATAATGGTCAATGGGACGATCTAGCCGGTATCGGATATACGGCAACCACGTTGAGGGTTCTCCGCGGACAACTTTTCAACAGGTTACAGGTTGCAGGTTGCAGGTTGCAGGTTACAGGTTACAGGTTACAGGTTACAGGTTGCAGGTTACAGGTGAAGTGTACAGGCGAAGCGTTGCTCAATTCGCAGGGCGAATCCACAAAGGTGTGGATCATGTGTCCGTGGGAATAAGGCCATTCAACTAAAAACGTGGACCCAAGAAAAATAAAAGGCCCAAAAGAGTTAGAGAAAGGAGAAAAAGGAAAAAAATAGGTCAAAAGAGTTCACCTGGGCAGGTACGCGAGCCCCTCCTGACCGGACAGACTTTTTCTTGTTAGTCAATTGCTTTACTTATTTTTTTTTTTTTTTCTCTTTTATCTCAATTCCTCTGACTCTTTCTTTCTCATAATTCAGTTTTCTTTATGTCACTTGAATTGCCTTGAAAGCACGTCCCTTTAGCCGCGCGTGTGTGCCTTGCCTGGCTCTTACCCTTTTTATCCTTTATCTTCTTTTTTTTCTTTTTTTTTTTTCGCTTTTTTGCCGGCCAACAGGTCCGGCAACGCGGGGAAAACTGGCTGTGTCTGTTCCGTGTGCGGAGGGCCGCCTACAGGCTTGAATTAGATTATATAATGGTCTCTATCGTCGACCATAGTGATATGGCCATGGACTCAATCGTGCCCAAACATGAACCTGGTCCTGATGGTTCCATCAGTTCGACCGTGTCGACACCAGATCCAGAAGCAGAACCCTTGACTCAGGATGCCGCGCAAACTCAGAAGAGGAAGGGAGGCAGGAAACCTGTACGTAACATCTTTTGCAAATCTGGGGCCCCGCATTCCCTCCGTGTCACTCACTTATATTGAATATACTAACTCCCTTTTCAGATATATGCCACCTCAGAAGAGCGAAAGCAACGCAACAGGCAGGCCCAGGCGGCCTTCCGAGAACGCAGGACGGAGTATATCCGCCAGCTAGAGACCACCATCAAACGCAATGAGGAATCTCTACAGAGTCTACAGCAGAGTCATCGTAGTGCCGCCGACGAATGTCTAATGTTGCGGTATAAGAACTCCCTGCTGGAGCGCATTCTCCTTGAAAAAGGTAACCTACCCCAACTCTCTAGCTCGAAACCCCAACTAACCTTCCCCACCAGGCATCGATGTTCAGGCCGAACTACGTCTGAAAACAGGGGCGCCGGGCGCTCCCCCCAAGGCAAACCCTATGCCCAAGGCACCCAGTGCAGGGGCCCGCCCAACCCAACGACACCCCGCAGGCATCGCCTCGAAGCCCGAGACGTTCGGCATGTCGCAGCGGGAAGGCGCATACGGGATCCCGTCGCCGCAGTTCCAAGCAACCCCCACCTCTCACGTTTCCTCGCCCTCACACGCCAAGTCCCCCGGCTTCGGTTTCCAGGGCGCCATGTCACCCGTCGAGGGACGGCCCCAGCTCCTCCCCCAACCCCGGACTTTTAGTCAGACGTCGCCGCCGGCAATCAGCATGCCACAGACCGAACCGTCAGACTCCAAACCCCAGTCCCGTGGAGCCATGGGTCCTCGCGGTGCGCGGGTCGCAGCGGCTGCTTACTATCCATCTCCATTCCAGAAACACTACGATCAACTCGGTAGGCCCATCTTCACCTCACAAGTTCCTTCCCAGCTGACCTCTCAAGCAGAACAGGAGTACGATGCCCAGGCCGATATGGTCGATGACGACCACGACGGCTCAACATCCTATGTCCCCGGCTTCACCCCGCAATCCGTCGCCTCGGGCTCCCACAATATGTCCGGTTTCAACCAACCACCGGGCGAGGGCACGCCCACCGATTTCGGAAATGCAAATCAGCTGCTCGGTCAGTACGAGCCGATGCTGGACACGGATCCGTTCGGGTTAAGCGCTAGCATGCACTTCCCCACCCCGTTCAACTACGAGCACAACTCGAGGCAATAAACTTGAAAATTTGTCTACTTTTCTTTTCTTATTCTCTTGTTCTATATTATCTCTGTCCATCTTATGTGGTAAATGATCATCTCTTCCTAAAAGTTTGATATGAGCATTTCCCGGCGTTGCGAGGTTTTGATACCATTCTCTTCTGCTTTTCTTCAGAGGTACATATGACTTTTTGTATATGAATTCACATCACGGCCTTTAGCTAATTTATCCATCATATTTTGCATTTACTAAGCCTGCAAGTCTACTCAAAGAGTCAATGATATTATATACTCATATTCCAACTCACCATCTCCTACACCTGCCAGGATCTAGGTATTATCTACGCGGAAGGGATTAAGCTTTTGACGTCTGAGAAGTCGGTCTATTAGAGATCGAGATGCGGATTAAAATTCGGATTCGGATTGAGATTATGGTGAGGGTTAGTGTTGTGTTCACTATTTTATATGAGAGACGATTATTTTTGTGCGCTTGGTACTTCCGTTGCTATGGATATTTTTTAGCATTGCTGCTCCGGCTCATACCTCGCACTCTTGGTGTTTAGGTGTGAGATTCTGTTTGGATGGGGTTGGATTGTGGGGATGGTTGCAGGCAACGCTATGTACTTTTGGCAATGCGGCCGAATTTCATCGCACTTGGATCTCACAGAGTTCCCGTAAAACAAATATGGGAGCCAACCCTCTTGGTTTAGGGACGTCCTTGTGCTTGGAGAGTTCGTATTAGATGTTAGGCTGTAAAAAATGCGGTCTGGAGGAATAGGATGATTCGTATCTACACGTCCACAGGTAGTTTGTCCAGTTGACGTAGGTAACTTTGTAACTCCGTAACTTCCAAGTGATGATCTTATTAGCTTGGAGCCGCAATCGATCATAGTATTTTACTTCGGACATTATCATTAATGCTACTTCTGATAGGTGAATCCGGGGAATAGCGGGATTATAAACGCTAATATGGAGTTAAGCAACTGGTTATGTCCGGGTTGTACGAGTATCTAGTTCCTCGATGGCTCGATCTATAAAGGGTCGCGAAACTCGCTTTCTGTATAACTTTCATCATACATATTCCATTACGTACTTCAAGAAAGAGAATACCACACCCCACTGCTTTCACCTTCTACACCTCACGCTCCATCAGCCTGACTACAAACATTCTCACCATGCACGTCTTCGTTACTGGAGCCACCGGCTTCATCGGAAGAGCAGTCGTTGACGAGCTCCTAACCGCCGGCCACACAGTTATAGGCCTCGCACGCTCCGATGAAGCCGCCGCTTCCTTAACAGCAAAAGGCGTCAAAGTACTCCGCGGTTCCTTCCGCGACCCCGAGATCATCAAGCAAGGCGCAAGCGAGGCCGACGGCGTGATCAACCTTGCATTCGACCACGACTTCAGTAAATACGAGCAGAACTGCCTCGACGAGAAAGAAACCATCGAAACCATAGGCTCGGTCCTGATCGGAACCAACAAGCCTCTGATCACCACCTCCGGCACGTTGGTACTCCCCAAGGGTAAACTCAGCACGGAAGCCGACGTTGTTGATTACGAACAAGCGATGAACATCCGCGCTCGTAACGAGAATGTTATTTCCCATCTTGCTAAGCAAAACGTGCGTTCTTGTGTCATCCGTCTGTCGCCGACTGTACACGGCGAGGGGGACCATGCGTTCGTCGATAGACTCGCTGCTCTGGCTCATTCACAGGGTAATGCGATTTACATCGGCGAGGGATTAAATCGCTGGCCTGCTGTTCATCGTCATGATGCGGCGCGGCTCTACCGACTTGCCCTAGAGAAGGGTGTTGCGGGAAGCATCTACCATGCTGTGGGCGAAGAGGGTGTGCCCATGAAAGATATTGCTGCAGCTATTGGTCAGAATCTAGGTCTCCCTGCTGTATCTAAGTCCCCTGAAGAAATGGGGAGCCTTGACGGCTTCATGTCTATGGTTACGAGCCTCGATAACCCGACTTCAAGCAAAAAGACCCAGGAACTTCTTGGTTGGGAGCCAGTTGGCCGGAAGCTTTTGGATGATATCAAGGCTGGTGTTTACGCCCAAAAGTGAGGGGATTGTAATTTGTAATTCGGTTTATAACCTGTATATAATTTTGGAACAAGGAAAGCTTTGGAGCTTGGGGCATATATGACCGGAATGCATACCGAAGGGATAGAGAATGGCCAATGCAAGTGCTAGCTAGCCGCAACCATCCCCACCACATACCAATGCAAATCCAAACTTATCGGATTTTTGCCACGGAATTTGCCACGGATAGCTCTAGGATAGCTCTCCATGATAGCTCCATATAGCTCCATGATTACATAGCTACTGCAAGGTTGCAATAAAGTACGGTGTTGTCCACAGTCAGATCGGCATACTCCACCGGGACATGTCAATTTTGTGTAAGTTAATGAATGGATTGATCATACACAGAAAGGGTGGATATTAGCTGTACAAGAGCGAATAAACCCAGCAAGTATAAGAAATGGATCCTCCAGAGCAGTCCTTGACGTAATGATTACATAAGGTACCCTAAGCCCTAGACTGCGGGCAGCCAATCAGCGGGCGCGGGCATTTTCGCTTAGGAGCAGAAGCCGCCTTTCCTGATTAGTCACCTTACACCCTGCAACCACAAACCGTGGGCCTCTCTTCACCCTGATCATTCATCATCATCAAATTGACAGGCCGGATTCCCTTGGGTTCTGCCTTGTGCACCGTTAACTCCTCTAGACCGATTGTCTAAAGTTGAGCGCCTCCCCCCCGGAAGGTCTCCGAAACACAACAGGCGTCATGGCGGAGTCCGTCCGGTCGAAGGTACGCTGAAATTGGAGCTCTCCTGCGCGCTGCTAGCGATGCAACGCTGAAACGAAATCGCGATCTGGAAGTGATTTGGGGTTGAGGAATTTTTTTTTAAAATGTCCAATAACTAATTCGAATTGATTTCATATAGAACCTCTACGAGCTTCTGGGTAAATTTGTCTCCCTCTCCCTTGAATCCCAATCCTCGGCTGTCTTTTCCGACGACAATGAGCTCTGAGCTCTTTCTATTCAGAAGAATACAGCTCCATTGGAATCCGTGCCATCCGTTTTATTCGGTCCTTTTGATCACTAACGTTACCTATGATCAGGTAACGACCCAGAGCTCGACCCCAACAGACCCCCTCCTCCTCCCACTAAGGCTGTCGACCGTCCCGCCGACCGCTCCGGAAAGCGTGATACTCCCAAGGAGCAGCCCGCTCGTCACACCGAGGCCAACGCCCGCCGCGGTGGCAACCGTGCCGCCGGCAACGAGGCCGGTATGTGAATCTAAAGAATCGGTTCCTAAACGGAATAATCGGAACTAATCAATTGGGTAGCTTACCGTGACCGCAACGCTGGCCGTGCCCACAACCGTGAGAAGCCCACCGATGAGGCTACTGCCCCCGCCCGCCGTGGTGGCCGTGGCGGCCGCGGTGACCGCCAGTCCCGCACTGGCCAGACGTAAGCGAATCCCTCGAAACGAATTGAAAGCCGAACGAAAAAAATCATGAACAAACCATGATATCTCGTTGGGCGAGCCCACAATTTCGAAATGACGAAAACTAACTTGGATTTCGATAATACAGCGACACCCGCAAGCAGGTCCAGCAGGGCTGGGGTGCCGAGAGCGGCGAGAAGACCCTAGACGACGAGCGCCAGGGTGAGAAGATCGCCAAGAAGGAGGAGAACGAGCCCCAGACCCCCGCCGAGGCCGAGGAGCAGGAGGAGCCCGATAACTCCAAGTCCTTCGCCGACTACCTTGCCGAGAAGGCTCAGCGCGAGACTTTCGCCGCCAAGCCCGAGCGCACCGCCAACGAGGGCACCAAGCTCGACAAGAAGTGGGCTGCCGCCAAGGAGCTCGCCAAGCAGGAGGAAGCCGCCTACATCCAGCCTTCCCAGGAGAAGGCCAAGCGCGAGAAGCAGCGCAAGGAGAAGAACTTCCTTGACGTTGACCTCCGCTACGTCGAGCCTCCCCGCAGCGGCCCCGCCCCCCGCGGCCGTGGCGACCGTGCCCCCCGTGGTGACCGTCCCGCCCGTGGTGGTGAGCGCAGCGAGCGTGGCCGTGGTGGCCCCCGTGGTGGCGACCGTGCCCCCCGCGGTGACCGCCCCGCCCGTGGTGGTGCTGCCCCCGCTGCTCGCGGTGGTGCTCCCCGTGCCAACGCCCGTGGCCCTGCCGGCCCCACCGTCGACGAGAAGAACTTCCCCAGCCTCGGCGGCAACTAAATTGCCTGACCTTGTCGGGAACTCGTGCTCCCAGACATGGATGTCATTGATATTCCCGGCTCTTCCATCCCCTTTCTCCATCTGCTAGGTGTGCAAGTTCACCCGGAGGTGGTATTTATTGTGTCGCTTCAATCTGTGATGGTTTTTATTTTCTCTTTCTCATGGGGATTGGGGCTTGGGAGCTTTGTGTGGGAATGTGAAGGATTATCCGTGCTTCTGTCGGATGCAAAAACTGCCCAGTTTTAAGTTTTTTCTTTTATCTTGGGAAAAGACATATTCCGGGTTGGTCTTATATGTGTTGTGTGTGTGTTTACATTTGCCTTCGGTGAGCAAACGCGAATTGGATGACTGAATTCAATGGGCCCATGTAATTTGAATCGATCCAGAAGAAGTCAACAAAAAAAATAGGAACGCAAAGAAATCTTCAATTGAATTACGGGACATGTCTGCTTCTTATATCCACTAGTATCTTAGATCTGCCAGTGGGGTTGTACTTGGTCTGGCAGATGTACGCTTTTCGATGTATAGGATGGACTTGTACGGAAATTAACCCAAATTGTGCTTGGATTTACCCAAAGTGCTACGGATGTATGTATGGACTTAACGCTAGGTATGTACTAATGATAAGATAGCAAAAGTCGCACAATTCTGGCCGGGGGTGTGGATGCAATGAAAATGAGAGACGACAACAGATCCACTGTGTCAACGCCTCTCCATCTATGACCCCTCGGTGTGACGAAATGCAAGTTTCTACAGCTCCTCGCCATGACGGTTCTGCCCCAACATAGTGAACTCTTTCGCGGCAAACTCGGCATTCTGGGTCCAACCCGCCAAGGTCTCCTCATCGACTTCGTCGAGGAAAGACAGGCCATCCATTGCTTTTCCACCACAGGCACGCTCCAACGCCAGGAAAGCAAAATGGCCACCAATGACAGGCCGAGCGAAGAAGGTCGGATTAGGGAAGCCCCCGTTACCCTCCGTGTCGTGCAAGTCCGTGAATGGACGATCAGTGGTGGTCTCATTGACCCAACGCGCGACAGACTCGAGGACCTCTGTACGCACATCCTTGGAGGCAACAGCCATTGAGAAGAACTCCCAGTCAGTCTTGGTGTAAAGGTGGCGGCTGTCAAGAGGAAGGCCGTACTTCTGACGCACATAGTGATACCAGACCGATTGTTTCTGGTAAACATGACGTGGAACAAAACCAGGTGAGTCAGTATCAGTATCCTCTAGATGGAAGCAGAGCTGGGCGTCGGCGTAGAGGTTGTAGAGCGTTGTCCAAGAGCCATACCAGTCATAGGCAAGCTTGGCATGGGAGCCATCTCGGGACATGCCAAACTCCTCCCATTTGGCAATGTAGTCGCTGGCGACTTTCTGCGTGTGGAGTTAGTCAATCTACCAGGACACACAGATCAAAGATAGTTCGAACCTTGAAATAAGCAGCGTCGACATCGTGACCGGCTACCTCGGCTATCTTGCTCATGGCGTTGATGCCCACAATTCCCTTAAGGGCCAGATTGGTCTGGAGAGCCAGCCAGCCTGCAAAATCATCGGTGGAGACTGTTCTCAGGATTAGCATTGGTTATTACACCACCAGAGAAAGATAGAGGATTGTTCTTACGTTGGTTAGCAGGCTCAAGAGAGAATTCCACCAGATATCCAGTCCACTGTTTCCAGAGACTATAGCTTCGCTTCACCCATTTTTCAGCTTCATGCTGGCCCTTCTTACCACCGCCCCATTTTCCATCTTGGTGAGCAATTCCAGATAGTACCTGCAGGTTACTAAGAGGGAATAGTCCCGAATTCTCGTTTTCGGAGCTTGATGAGGGCAACCCTTGTGTTGACCAGATGGACGAGGCCGCGGCAGAGTCTTCATAGCGAAGCGAGTTCACGATAGCCAACCCCATGATGAGGATATTACCGCATTCTTCGACCGGCATGTACTCGTCCTTCCCGTCAGGATGTCCAGTGGCATTGGGGAAGTGTGTACCCAAATCGTGCATCGCATACTTATTAGGGTATTGCCCGCTCAGCATGTGCTCGATCAGCGGCTCCAAAAGGTACGCCAACCACCGGGGGTTCGTGTACATGAAGAATGGGAATGCGGGGAAGATGACATCGATGGTTTGGAAGTTGCCATTTGAAGAGATCTCCTTTAGGAACAGGATCGGGTCCTCCGGAGTTCCTGAAAATGTAGTTGCGCCCATGACCTGCCGCGCAGTTAGGGCAACGATCTCGACATAGTCATCAGCTCCAGACAAGTACGCGTCATCTGCCAACTGCTGCGAGTAATTGGATGCCAGAGAACTAGCAGCAGCGAAGTCCCTGTAGTGGAAATTCAGGAGCTCTTCGGTTGTTGAGTACCAAGATTCCCACAAGGGTCGCATCATGGTGAGCCCACGAGATGACGCATACTGAACAACAGGGATTTGAATAAAAGCGAGAGTGAATGTTACGCTGTCGGCGTAACTCTTGGATGAATGGCCGAGGTGGAAAGTCTTGGAGAAGGCAAAAACGGGCGATCGATCCCGAATTGCACGGAATTTATCATCATTGGTGTTTTGCAGAGCTCCAGAGCTAGCGAAGACTCGGCGTACCTGAGTCGCATCTCCAGACTGGTATTCAATGTCCTGGGTTGTGATTAGCTATACATCAGTTCGTTTTGACGAGATCGAACTCACAGATGGTCCAGTGAAATGCAGAGTGCCCCATTCGGCACGGTCGCGAGTCTCTGTGAGATCAAGCTCGTTCTCCCTCTGCACTTGCCATCGATTAAGGGCAAGCTCCTCGTGCTTAGCCTGCAGAGTATCCAATCCCCACTTGAT